CGAAATGAGAGAAAGATAGACTCACTTCCGTTCGGTGCAGATTGTGCCACCAAATTGTTTCAAAAACCCTTCCCTTTTCAGAGCTCTTAGCATTCACAATCGCAGGTGAGGGATTGTGGGTCTGCATACACTCCAGCAACGGGCCTTGGAGGGGCAGCTATGGGAACAGGTACCTGCTAACACCTCATAACCTTGGAGCAAGGCCGATGCTCTGTCTGAGCGCTGCCACTTAAACGTGAGCAAATGGACATGGTAGACGCTTAAAATCCCAAAACTGTGCTTCCACACCGACCAGGAAAAGGTCCATCACACTGGGCACATGGAGACTTTGTCTGGACACTCAGTGTTTAATAGAATTAAATAAAGCATGTGAACAAGCAGTAAGACCATTTAGTTTCAAGTATTTTATTGTTTTTTCTCATTAATTTTATTCTTAGTTTGATAAGAAAATCTATCCCTGGCTGGCATGTGCGTTTGACTGACACCTGCTCTCAGGCAGCAGGCCGCACACCAGCAGAGCCATCTCCATTATCACATGTGAGATAAGACAAGGGGGTCGAAATGAGCTGAGAATTGATAATATCACATTCCACTGTCCTCCCTTGAGGCATGCTGTGAACATGTGGACATGTTTAAAGACTTCCTTTATGTTGGATAATATCATAGACAGAGCCAGTTGGTTTTATATAATAGGCTATTTCAAAGTAATGAATTAGCTGAACTAATGCTTTCTTGCAAAGTAAATAATTCTGAAAGAAAATAGATCTTTATTCTTAAATCCTCCTCCTTCTCAATTAATTAGACTTTGTTGGTGAAAGGAAGTTAGGCAATTCAGCACAAGGCTGATTATACCATAAATGTAAAATGAGCAGGGAAATAATAGCTCTCCACTCTTTCAAACAAGCCAGGTCTGTCCGTAATAGCCCACCGGTTGTGTAAACACGATTTCACTGCCTCGCAAAGGAAATATTGACCTACCTGTTAACTAGAATTACCCTGGCATGCTTCAACGAAGCTTATTAGCAATTCTTGTGGTGCACATGAATGTTTTTAGTTGTGGACTTTTATCAAAGATTAAAGAAGTAGGAAATTATCCATTTTGCAAGCCCAGAAAGTAGACATGTACCAGACTGCACTTCACCAGAATTGATTTTAAAACTTGCAATCTAAGAGTCTAAGAAGTAAAACGTGATTTCATTCCTGGCATGAGACAATTACACGTCAGCTCATTAATACTGAGAGGCCTCCCAGAACCAGAACTGAGAACATCCCTCAGACAAAACACCAATGACTCTGCTTCAGCCCCCTAGCCCGACTATCAGACGTAGGAGCGCTGTTGTCCTCTGACAGACCACCAACACGTATTCCTGTAACTGGCTATCAAGAGAAACTAGAAATATGTGTATTTAAGGGAAAAGAGGATTGAATATATACTTGTCCCTTCTATAGAAAACCACCATTCTCTGCTCCAGCTGGCTGCACTGCAGTTCAAAAAGACTACACTTTTCTTACAAAAATACATGAATTTCTTTCTCAATAAAATAATAATAAACCCAAGATCCTACCCAGTTTAAGTCGACGTGCAGCTGGAATTCCCAAGGGATTTGAAAAAGGGTACAGGACTTACAGTCAGAAGACTCAGGTTAGGATTTTGGCCCCATCGCTGCCTTGCTGGCCACACCGGGAAAACCAGCTGTTTCCCATCCTCAGGCTCGGGCAAGAAAACCCCGCTTCACCAGGTCGTTGTGAGGACCCAGGGAGAGCGTGAGGGTGTGCAAAGAGCTCTTATTATGCAATCTGAGAACCTTATCCTACAAATCAAATGGTATTTGCCACAAAACAAACCACTGCTCAGTGGGCTCACTAGAACTTTCTTTTTAGTGTGCAAGGAATCTAGTTTGCTGTGTTTTCATCTTTATGAGCTAAGATAAAGCGATTAACATGCACACATGCCGACAATAAAATCACCATTAGCCGAACCATTCTTATTTTCGACCCGTATGATTTCCTATGTCCTAATGTCTACATGACCTTGAGGCTTCATCAGGTCCCTCTTAAACGTTCACGCTTCCTGGGCTTTCAGGTTTTTTCTGAGCACTCAAATGTGAGTGGTCACAGCTAAACCCTCACCCTCTGCCTCAAGCGACAAAACCAAACGAAGTGGACTGGTTTTGTTTGGAGGTTGGGAGGTGGTGGAGTAGAAGCGGCTTTAGATCCAGGTGTTTAAAAGATGACCTAAGGTTTTGCTTCTCTCCTTGCAGATGCTAATGTTCAGTTTCTGGTGAGTTTTCTCCACAAGGCAGAAGGGCAGCCCCTGAGCTCCAAATTTCCTTGCCCTTAGAGCTCATGAAGCTAGAGGAGAAAACCTCCTCCCCCTGGGGCCCATGACAATCCCCCAAACAAACTGGGACTGCTCTGGTTACATACCCACCCCAGGCGCTGGGAGACACAGCAGGTTGGCACCCTGCTGGAGTCACCTAAGGTATGGGAGGTAGTTTCTCAAAGGAAAAGTGTGGAGAGAGGAGAGAGGAGAAATGTTGGACCTGCAAAAAAGTATCAGATGTTCATCACACCCAGCTTCATCCAGCAGAGCTGTCCTCCTCCGTTTAACTGCATCAGAAATCCCTCTGTTCTACACGAATTTGTTAGCAAGCCTCAACTCCTGAAAGGACCAGGAAAGGCACTAGCACAGGTTGGACATCAACTTGGCTCCAGGTCAAGTGCCACACGTCCTAACCTTTAGAACAACCTGGATGAGTAACAGCCCCCTTCACAGAGAAGGCACCTGAGACGGGCTCATTCTGCACCTCTGATCAAACAGCCTGAAACTGGCAGAACCCGGGTTCCAATCCAGCTGCACCTGACCCCTTCCACAACCATAACGCCGTGTTCTCCTCAGCAACCCTGCAGTCAGAGACAGTGTTGCCAGATGGTGGACACAACCGTGTTTGGATGCCTGTTGACAAGTCGAGTCCATAAATCCTTGTTGAGTTCCCACCACCGTGAGTCCTGCAGGCAAAGATGAGACAAGTGGCCTGGTCTCCGCCTCCAGAGTCACCATCATAAAGTTGGCAAAACAAGACAAATATGCATTCAAGAAAACTTTAGGGCTAACCTGTGTGATTTTTATACATACCCCTCAGTGAGATTCCTGGGATCCTGCTCAGTCTATCATCCTCTTTAGGCCACAGGCTCTGGGCGAGAGCTGACTGGACACACTGCATCCGACTGCAGCTTTAGACCATTTAATGCAGACACTGGGCACGGAAGGGTTCACAGAAACAGCAAGTCTTTTTTTTTTCCACATTGGTACCTGAGCTAACAACTGTTGCCAATCTTTTTTTTTTTTCTGCTTTTTCTCTCCAATTCCCCCCAGTACATAGCTGTATATTCTAGTTGTAGGTCCCTCTGGTTGTGGCACATGGGACGCTGCCTCAGCATGGCCTGATGAGCAGTGCCATGTCCCATACAGGATCGGAACCAGCAAAACCCTGGGCCAAGGAAGCCACGGGAGCGAACTCAACCACTCAGCCACACGGTCAGCCCCAAGAGTAAGTCTGGAGTTGCACTTACAAGATAACTAATCCGGAGACAGGTTAAAAAAAGGAAGGAAGAAAGGTAATTGGTAGGCATTCTGTAGACGTGGAAGGAATGGCTGGGAGAAGCAAGAATAAGGTGGGAACAAGCCAAGGGATGGTGGTGCCTGTGGCGTGTGAGGGACAAGAGAGGGAACGGCCAGAACTGGGCACTGCACCCACGTCCAGAAACCCGGGTCAACTCAGGGTTTTCAACACTGCCGTCAAATTTTCCAAGATCCCCGCGCCGAGGTCCTTTATTTGCAGGATGAGGAGGATGGAGTCTGTAAATCTCAGCCACTCTCTCCCTCCATCTAATCCAGACTCACAAACTTGCTCAGGATGGGATTCGCTGGAGAAAAGAGCTGCTCGGCACACGGACAGAGGTCCAGGAATCTACGCATCTTTGAAAGTTCCACAGGTGATCAGCCAGGTTTGGGGATCACTCCTTAAATGAAGATCACTTCACAAAGAAAGAAAATCTTCCCAGCTGGAGCATTCAGAAGTGTGCGTGGGAAATCCGGCGGGACGGGCAAGGGAAGACGAGGAGAGGCCTTGAGAGCCTTCGAGGCCGAGGCCGAGGCCATGCCTGTGCCCTCGCCGTCCCCGGGGGCGCACCCCCCAGCCCCGGAGGCCGTCCTCTCCCTGCCGCGGGCTCACGGAGGCCCTTGCCAGGCGTGGACCGCGCCCCGTCGGAGAACCGGGGACAGAGGAAGAGGCCCGCGAACCAGTGCAAACGGCCTGCCTGTCCGGGGGACCCTACACACTTTGAAAATGGTCCCTTCGACTTCTCGCCGCGATGACTCAGCAAGGCTGCGTGGGCGCTCGCTCCCCAGCGCAGGTATTTAGCGGTTGACCCAGAACTTCGACTTTAGGTGAAGAGCGGGCCAGGCAGTGCGGCGCGAGGGAAGGACCCACGGCCGCGAGGACGCCGGCCTCCTCACCTCATAACCTCGCTGTTTTTCTGGACTGGATCTTAGTCTTCTTTTAAGCACTCCACGTGTTCCATCCAGCACTGAAGTGGGCTTGGAGGCAGCGTCTGCATCCTCGGGCCCCGGGTCGGGTCTCCAGGACGCGGGGGGGGAGGGGTGTCGGGGGGGGGTGCCCCGCCGTCCGCGGTGCGGAGCTCCAGACAGTCCCCGCCCCGCTGCCCCAGGCAAAGCTGGACGCTCGGAGCAAGAGAGCCACCCCCCGCCCCACCAGGACTCGGAAAGCGGGGAGGAGGGAGGGAAAGAGGAGGGCGTGGGGAGGGGGAGGCGGCGGGCTGCCCGGAGCAGGCTGCGCTGACGTCAGCGGGCGCGCAATTGGGCGGCCGTGCTTAAAGCGGGCGCGGGCGGCGGAGATGCCGCTCAGTCCGGGCAGCCCCTGCGGCCGCGCTGCACCCTCGCTGCCCCACCCGTTCGCGCGTTCTCGGAGCCCTGCAGGCGCCTCGCGCTCCCCTCGGGCCCGGAGCCGCGGGAGCAGCAGGAGGAGCAGGAGCAGCAGGAGCCGAGGGGCGCGCGGCGCGGCATGGACGCCCCCTCGGTCGGCGCGCTCCTGGCCCTGCCCGCCCTGCTCCAGCTGGCAGCTGCGGGCGGCTCGCCGGGGCCGGGCGCGCTGCTGCGGGGCTGCCCCGCGCGCTGTCGCTGCGAGCTGGACGGCAGGACGCTGCTGCGGGTGGACTGCGCGGACCTGGGGCTCGCGGCGCCGCCCGCCGACCTCAGCGCCTTCACCTCCTTCCTGTGAGTGCCGCGCCGGGGGCGGGCGCTCCGCGGGTAGGCGACCGCCGAGGGGACCCGGGACAGGACGCGGGCTCAGGCGCCGCGCCTGGGCTCCTCGCCAGGGTGCTCTCTGGGCGGTGCGGGGGGCGCTCTGGGCTCTGCGCCGGGAGTCGGTCTAGGCGCGGGGAGAGCGGGGGGCGCTCTGGGCTCTGCGCCGGGGGTCACTCTCAGCGCGGGGAGAGCGGGGGTCGGGCGGGCGCTCTGGGCGGCCTGGGGCGCCATCCGCGTCGGTGCACAGCCCGGGAACGACCCTGGAAGCTCCCCGGGGGAGAATCGGCTGCCCCCTTGCACTGTCGCGCGATGTAACCTTTTGCTCTTCTTTGCTTCTTTCTTTTTTTAACGACGTGATTAAATGTGGCGGCCGCAGCCCCACGGGAGCTGCCAGGACGTTATCTTTGCTCCGGCGGCCGGGCGCCCTTTGAAGTGCCGCGGGCGGTGTAATCTTTAACCGCCCGCTCCTCCAGGGAGGGGAGTGGGCTCGGGCGCCCTATCCCCCTCGGGGGTTCCCCTGGTCCCCCCACAATGTCCGAAGCCCCACCGCCGGTACCCAGGCCGGGGGCTAACAGGGTCGCGTGGACGCAGTGACCCAGGAGGACCCGAGTCTCGGGGACCAAGGCGACTCTGTCTCTCCCCCGATGGCGAATCTGGGCTCGGTTCCCCGGGCAGAGACGGGGTCGGGGGCACTCGCGACCGCAGGGGACACGGCTGGGTCAGCTGGAGGCGCGGCGGAGCCCACCCCGCGGCGCGCAGCCGGGTTCGGCGCTTCTGATGTGCTGGCAGGCGCGGGCCGGGCTGTTTGTGAGCCCTCTCCCCTCGGAGCCGCCGTGCGCGGGGAGACTCGAAGAGGCTTGCGCAACGCTGGCCACGCGGTCGCGGCGCTTCTCTAGACACGGAGCGGAGGGAAAAGCTCTCGCCTGCTTCAGTCCTGCGTTCAGAGAGGGCAGCCCGCCTGGCTTGCGGTTGGCAGAGGGCGTCCCCCTCCCGTCGGACGAGCTCGCCGCTTTTCTTTTCTGGGTGGGCTGCGGTGACCTGCCTCCGCGCCCGGTTCCCGTCAGTCGCGTCTTTGCAGACGGAGTCGCGTTCGCGGCCGTGGAAATTGCTCGCCTGGGGATCCTTCTCTGAGAATTCGGGGTTCCTCCTCCGAAGCAGCTGCCCGAGGTTCAGAGAGAAGAGCACGCCCAGTGTCTGGCCGGACTGCTGACCTCAGCGTGTCACAGTCCTGTGTCGTGTGTGAGTTTCTGAGAGCAAGCGGCCGTTCGCTTCAGCGCCCAGAACTCTCCTCCGTCACCTGAAGAACTGGCCAGCGACGGGGCAGGCGCTCTGGCCCCCACGCGCCTCGCTGTGCGAATCGTACACTTGTTATAGGGTGTCGGAGACACGTTTACGAACGGTGCCGGGACGCGCCTCTCTCCCACTACGCGCGTCCCTTAGGCTTCCTTCCCGGAAGCTGGCGGGAAATGCCGCTGCTCATCTTTCCCGCGTTCCTCCTGTGCGCCCTTGTCCCGTGCGCTCAGGAGATGTCGCTCCTCGCTCCCCATCTGCCTGTCGTTATGGATAACCCGCTGGCGTTAAGGTGCCATTAAGAAGTTCGTGGTCATCTTTTTCTCGTGCTACTTGACGGACTGAACCGTGGCCTAAGGGGAAATTTTCTCAGTGCCCTATAAAGTCTGAAACTCCGAGCGTCTGTGGCAGGTGTCACGGTGGGTGTGAAGTCCTTGCTTCTGACGGTTAACACTGCGGGCGGCGTGGGTGCTGAACGCGGAGTCGCTGCAGAAGGAAGTAGCAAGACCCTGTTCTTCGCAGCGGGCGCTTTCAGCTTTGTCCATACAGAGTACAAAACGCCGGAGCGCGGGACCCCTTCCCTGTGGGTGGAGGGGTTGGGGTTTACAACCGCAGGAACGTCGTGTAGACGCTAAGGGTAGATGGTGCCCTCTTTTGGTGACACCTAGAATTGTTCGACCATTTCTGCCTTCACTTCACTGGTAACCTAAAAGAGGAGTCTTGACTCGTCTTCAGATAAACAAGCATGTGTTTTACTGGCTTTCTTATTTTAAGAAATAGTTTCACTTTCCTCTTGAAAGGGAACACAAGGCCACAGGCCTGCTCCAGGCCGGTGGTGACCCAGCGGTGACGAGAAAGCTACCATGTGCAAAGACCCGTGGTGGGGGGGGCAAGCTTCTGTCTAACTGCAGTCGGTTATCACCATTTGAGTCAAAATGTAATCTCACCATCTTCCTCCCCACAAGAGAACAAGCATTTCATTCTATCGAACAGATTGATGATGGCGAGTTCCAGCTGCACACATTTGGCGCATAGATTTGCCACCGTCTGGTGGCCGGCTGGTCAGACTGGGAGGAGAAGAGAGTTTCCTCTCTCTCCACAGAAGGCGGGAGCTGTTCACGTGCAGTTTGATAACCTTTCTCCCTCAGAAAAGCTGAATCTCAAGCCAGTCCCAACATTGATGTTGCCTCACTAACTTTTCTTACTGGATGGCATTCCCAGGGGAGGCACGGGGCGCCCCGACACGGTGGAAGCCCTGGGAAGCCTGTCTGCATCTCCTCCCTCTCAGTCTCTCAGTCTTTCTCTCTCAGTCTCTCTATCTCTCAGTCTCTGTGTCTCTCTCAGTCTCTCTGTCTCTCTCAGTCTCTGTCTCTCTCAGTCCTTCTGTCTCTGTCTCTCTGTCCTCTCAGTCTCTCTGTCTCAGTCTCTCTGTCTGTCCCTCTGTCTCTCTCTGTCCTCTCAGTCTCTCTCTCTCTCAGTCTCTCTGTCTCTCTCTCAGTCTCTGTCTGTCTCTCTCAGTCTCTGTCTCTCAGTCTCTCTCTCTCAGTCTCTCTATCCCTCTGTCTCTCTCTGTCCTCTCAGTCTCTCTGTCTCTCAGTCTCTCTGTCTCTGTCTCTCAGTCTCTCTGTCTCTCTCTCTCAGTCTCTGTCTGTCTCTCTCAGTCTCTCTGTCCTCTCAGTCTCTCTGTCTCTCAGTCTCTCTCAGTCTCTCTTTCAGTCTCTCAGTCTCTCCATCTCTCTCCTCTCTCCCAGTGCTTGTAGGCTCTGAGTTTGCAGCAGCGGCTAATAAGCTCAGCAGAGAATAAGGAACACCCCGAGGTTAAGACGTAAGAGCAGCCAGTGATTGTCTACAAGGTTTAATGCATCTGAACCCGTCAGGAGCGACCTGTCAGAAACAGTCACTAGCAGCTAATCTTAGAGGTCAGTTATTCTGATGCATCAGATGTGGGCATTTCTCCTAATGAGGTCTTTAAAGGAAGCTCCCCTGGCTGCTTTGATGCGTCTTCATCCAGTTAGTGTGGCATCCAGACAGAAAACTGAATCCTAATGCACATCCTCATACAGTGAACCTGCTTTTCTTCATTAATCCAGAAGACCATTTTATTTTTAAATGAAAACTGAGTTTTTCCCTGCTGTTGCTTAAAGACATGAATATTTCATCCACAAGCAAATTTATGTCACGTGAATCAAAGGAAGTAGGAGAAAGAACGTTTTTAAAAATTTTATGTAGTTTGGATACTTTTCCATAGGTAACCTTGTAACAAAATTTAATTTTACGCATAATTAATAAAACTGGTGTTAACAGGAACTGATTAAAAACATCAATTATAACTAATTAAGTGCAGCCCTGGTGTCATATACATGTTTTAAGCATTTACAATGCAGTTTCAAAATTAAAGAATATTCTTAGAATCCTCTTTGAAAATGGTTTAATATATTTCTTACCCTTCAAGCTAAGAAAAGTATTTTAAATGAAGAAAAATGTTTGTACTTTAGAAATGATTCCAAAAGCCTTAACTGTTGTAACAGCCTTAAAATTTAGATCAATTGCAAAATTTATGCAGTTTGCTCTACAATCGACTTTCAAAATTGTTTAAAATGTAATGACGTCCATGACTTTTCTGCATTTTAGTGAAGATCTTTCCTTTTCTCCAGTATTCCCAGGGTATTCTTAGTAGTGTTTTGTTATGGGGGCCAATATTGAAGCTAATTGACTAAATTTGTTGGAGTGATTTTTTTTAAGTAGTGGTTCTGATTCAAACAAGTTTGTAGCGTCGATGTAGAATAAATATTTTAGGGAACATGTTCAACATGTACACAGCAGAGTTTGTATGACAAGAATGAATTTCTCCATATAATAAACGTCATCTTCGGTCAGATCTTCAATCTTTTCCTCCTGCATTTTTGTCACAGTGAAGGGGTTCTGATAAGCAGGAAGAGGTAGCAGTCACAAACAAGTTAGAAGATTGGAATAAAAAATAACCTTTGTAGTTAAATTATGTTTTGATAATGGAGCCATTCCCACTGGATGTGTTTAAAGAAGTTCAGAAACACAAAACTGGTCTGCGATTTCTCATAGTTAAGTTTTTTATCTGGTTTATTTGATTGTTTTAAATTTCTAAAACATATAACTGTCAAAGGCATAGAAATAATAAGCAATTAACCTAATAAATCCATCACAAAATAAAGACATTACAGAATGTTCACAAATGTGTAACTGAGACCTAGTGTCTGCCTACCTTAGTAAAGTGTTTTTGATATTTCTTCTATTAAACTCATACGTTTAAGTCATTTTAGCCATAAATTGAAGTATGTTTACAATTAATCCAGATCATGTGCCTTAAGACAAATGAAAAACAGTAGTGAGCTCGGCACTGAGCAATTTTCAAGGTACTTTGTTGGTTTTGTTCAGTTATTTATATAAATTCAGAATAATGCTAAATGGCACGTTTCCTTACAAACACCCCACGAGTGGATATTTCTGGTAAACTGAATTCTTCAGAGAGGGCAGATCCCCTCCTGTGAGGTCTGGCCTCCTTGCTCGTGTTGCTGTGTTTCCCTCATGGTCTCACTTGGCAGAAAGATGAGGCAGACGGGCATTGGAGCCGTGGCGGGTACCTCACACCCCAGAGAAGCAAGGCCATTGTCTCCACCTGTTGCTGTTTCTGATGCATCCTGGGA